TGAACAAAGGCCTTCTGTAGCGAATCGATGCGTTTTTGTAAGAAAAATATCCATATTCAAAACGTAATAATCACTTTAATGTAGCTTGCGGCAACAGTTGTACATGGAAGCAGCTCCGGGCTGATGACGTATGAGTTCAGCGTTGCGCATGCAATGATTCGCTACAGGAGGCCTTTGTTCATCCCCCGGAGCCGTGTGTGAGACTTTTGTTTTATTTTTATGGATGGGCGCTTTTTATTTAACTTCTTTTGGACTGATGCATGCAACACCCGCTGAGTGGCATTAAACAGCTTGAAAGATCAAAGACAATTTTTTTTATATAACTCCGACTGGATTCGTCTGAAAGAAGAAGTCATATACACCTAGGATGACTTGAGGGTGAGTAATTTATGGGCTAATTTTCATTTTTGGGTGAACTAACCCTTTAATATTGTCGCGTTTTCAGGGTTTCATGGTGTCAGTTCAAAAGCTACTTCATCTTCAAACTGGAGAAAGTAATGGAGGATTTCCAAGCATCGGCCCCGGAGCAGAGAGGGCCTGCTAACCCCAATGTAGAATCGGTTCCTTTTGAAGAAATGAAGGAGAGAATTCTTAAGATAGTGAATGAATACAATGGGTGAGTAACACACTAATTAATTGCATAGTGTGGTGCTATCACCAATTTTCCTTTCAGAAAAGCACTGGGTTTGTCCCTGTCTCTTTACCCCAGAGCAAGTGTGCCATCTTCTGGCTGTTGAATATAACCTAGCCTACACCGTTGTGGAGGATGCAGCAGCTAATTCAAACATTTTCTCTATCCAGGATCCCATTCACTATCCAGCGCTTGTGCGAGCTGCTCACTGAACCTAAGAGGAACTACACAGGGACAGAGAAATTTCTCAGAGGGGTAGAGAAGGTCAGTGTGTGATGTGTTATTTAGTTTAAGAATTAATCGGGCCAGATGGATGCTGTTTAGTTGTGTGTAGTGGTGCACTTTCTATAAAATACTTTGAGGAATCTTCTTCACCCTGTTCTTATAGGGATGACAGTCCATTCCCAGTATGTTCAGTTTGTATTTGCATTTTTATTGTAGTTTTGCTACGTTCCATCCAAAGTCAGATGTGAAATATTATTATCTTTGACTTCCATAAAGGCATGCTGTTGATTTATGGTCACTTGTATTTGTTTTGCAGGTGTTTGATTTATAAATCTAGAGGATCGTTTACAGTGTTTTACACACTTGTCTTCAAATGTTTGCAGTTTACTAAATGGGTTTTATTACAATGTGTTGGAGGAACTTTAACACATTTATGTGTTATATATGCTTAAGTGATTTGATTACCATTCAAGGCCCACATTTTAGTCCAACTTATTCACTCATACATTTTCCCATATAGGAGGTTGTAAATGAATTTGCATTGTTTGTTATTGATACTGATTGTTTCTTCTCTTCATCAGAATGTGATGGTGGTCAGTTGCATTTATCCTACATCTGAGTAAGTAATTACACTTTACTATTAAAATGTAAAGTTACTACATATTAATTGAACACTTAGATACCTTGAATCTATTTTTGGCCTTTTTGTAGGAAGAATGGCTGCAGCGGTGTCAACAGAATGAATGGAGTCATGTTGTCAGGGAACACATCTGCCTTTACAGAAAGGTGAGGAAAGTATATGGAGCTCAGGACTAGTCATTTAAAAAAAATAAGCATAAATTTGATTTCCCTCTATATTACAGGAAAGTAAATGGTCCAGGAACGCCCAGACCATTAAACAGACAGAAACACTCCATGTCCAGTTCACTGGCCACAAATGGCCTTCCAGACAGTACAGAAAACAAAGAAACAAACACAGCACAAGGACACAGCAAATCGGCCGGGTAGGCTAAATTTGCCATTGTATCTCATCTCATCTGATCATCACTCAAGACCAGAGATGGTGAACAGTAAAAATGAAATGCCAAGATTTACATAAATTAATGTTCACTTGTTGTTCACATGATATAAAGCCCTGAATATCCTTTACATTAGTGAAATACAGAATATATCTTTGTGTTCCAGTGATGCATCTGTATCAGGCATTGATTGGCCTCTTGGCAGCTCTGTAAAGAACAAACACTTAGATGATGAGGAAGATGAGGGAATGGAGGCAGAGGAACATGAAGTAAAGAGGCTGAAATTCAACCAGGATGGCAATGATGAAGAAGAGGATGAAGATGAAGTAGACCAGCAGGTATCAACTAATAGCTCCTCGGATAAGTCAGAGGATGCCGAATCACCGTCATCCATGTTGCAGGAGGGAAGTGAGGAAGAGGAGGAAAGTAAACCTCATGGATCAGCTGGAGGCTCTGAGGACCAAGGTATCATCATTCCCCCCCGGTCTTTAAGGTTGTTTACACACTACATAAAGCACTTACATATTCTATTCTTTGCTACCGTAGAGCCTTCCAGCACACAGCCTGAGTGTCCTGTGGCAGATTCCAGAGAGGCTTTTACTGAAAGAGAGGTTCCTTGTGGCTCTGATGACTCCTTAGAAGAGCCCAGCGATATGGACCAATCAGAGCAGAGAGCCCCAGCGGGCGTGGCCTCTAGCCCTGAGGTGAGAGAAGGGGAGGAGCCAAGCGAGCAGGTCAGCAGCAGTAGCACGGATGAAAATGCCTCTGGACCCACATCCAGCAGCAGTAGCGTAGACTCACCCACAGAGGGCGACTCTGGGTCAGGGGCCCTGGACTCGGAGAGCGCAGAGGAGGAGCCAATGGAGCAGGACTAGACGCCTGCAGACTCAACAATAACTGAATGCTTTTGTGGAGATTAAGCAGACACACACTTAAGTTGCCTTCCACAAAGGCCACCAGAAGCAACATCCAACTTACCGCCATGCGCCTTTTGGTCGAGAGTCCATTCCACCTAACTTCTCCAACTTTCCCAAACAGACATTTTATGCAGATGAATAGGATTTTATTGCTGAAGTGAAGGTTTTAAACTGTCTTTTACGTTTTTTGATGTGTAGTAATCACACTGTCAACTGACATCACTAAAAGCTAGTTAAAGAAATATACATGATTAAATACAAGTTAAACACTACACAGCTGTAGCATACCTTTGGTTACTACAGGAAATGATTCCAACTCAGAAAAAGCAAAAGTGGAAGTTGCTTGCTCAGACTTTTATAATAAATGTATTTCAAAGCAGATATATGTTGTCATAATTTACAGCATGGCTGTTGTTGTTAAAGCTTAACTTGTATTTAACCATGAATATTTATTTTAATATTTAAGTCTTGGTTCATGAGTTTAATTTGTATCCAGTCTTGTTCGAAGCTTTAGGTCGGCTAGGACATGTCTCCTCTGCATTGGTGTATTAATATTTTAGTCACCTAGTGTCAAGCATTGGGGCAGTGGAGTTTATCGTCTTGTTCTCTCTGAAGACCCATAACTGGCTACTGTTCAGGTTACGTTCCAAGCAAATACAAGCCATAGCTATCTTTGTTCTGTTAAATGATTCAAGCCTAGCGTAACATCGTTTCTTTCTGGTCGTTTGTGTGTAACTGACGGGATGTAAAATCTCTTTTCTCACTTTTGTATTCTTGTGCGGTCTGCGCTGCATTGAAAGTGAGTGGTTTATATCAGGTACATTTACCTCTTAATTCAAACTGATTTCATGATTCACGTTAATTTATACCAGCAGAGAAGTTGTTTTGGTTTTTGTTGTTTTGGCAGGTGGTTGTTGACTGCTCCAACTAGCTCAATTAGTGTCATTTGTGTCAGTCCAACCCCAAGTTGTCTCACCGATAACAGCTGGCTGCCGTTTTGCAGCTGTGTGTTTTTGATATTTAGAATTTTTAAATTTCTGTAAAGTAGTGTTTTGTAGAGCATCGTGTTCACTGCCTTTTGTGCGTCCATATATAATTGTATAATTTTCTTTGGTGTTTTTCTGAATGCGTGTGATTTCAATACAGTATTCAGACGAAGCAATAAATGTTATTGTTTTAAATGTTTGGAAGACCCTTTAATTTGTCAGACAAACATGTTTCTGCAGCTGAAATTACAAAATGTTTGTTTCATGTTCTGTCTGTTGTTGTATTTCATGTACCATAGACATGTTTAAGGTAAACTTGATTTTTATGTAAAGCTGGGTAAAAGTGTTCCTATGATTTCATGATCAAAGACTTTGATATTCAGGTTTCTAGATGTCTTTAAATTAAGTCTGTGGGATTATTTTTGTCTGTTTTATTGAAATCAAAAGCCTGATCATTTAGAGAAGTAATAACACAACTATCCTCAACAAGCCACACAATTTGATGCATTCACGTTCACAGTTTGTGCTGTGGATGAGTTTTACTCCAAAGTTTACTACTCGGCGAGCACCACTAACTTGTAGGATGTCATTCATAGGAGGATTATCGTTACATAAAGTCTCTTATGCTTTCATCCGGGCCTTTTCATAATCCTTAATCATGTTCCTCAAATTAATACTTGCCTACTAATTCATTTTGCTGTTATTAAGCTCTTGCACAAATTTTTCTGCTTCATTTCCCAAATACAAGTTTCCTTTTCTTATGTCAAGTTTAAGTCAAGTCAAGTTTATTTGTACAGCGCTTTTCACGATACAAATCATTGCAAAGCAACTTTACAGCAAATTAAGTTTCTACAATATTTAGTGGTAGCTTATCAGTGGTGACTGTCTCCGACAATTAGCGCTTTATCAACAGTAACCAATAGGTCTATTATGTCACAGTCATACGTCTCTAACAGGCTCCTGCTGACACAGAACAATGATTTCTGCATTTCTTTCAAGAAAGGAAAGCTTTATTTCACCTGTCTGGCTGGCTAATTTCCAGAGTCGCATGAGTATGGTCGACTGAAACTTACCCAGCCCTCAGAGGAAATAAAAAGTGGATTCCTGCCATGATGCGTGGCAAGAGGTTACGTTTAACTGTCGTCTTTGAACACTCGTCTCTTGGGAAATAAGCCTGCATGCTGTGGGAATAGAAACAAGTCTTAAGTAAATGAATTGTAATTTGATCCTCGGGACAGGGAACTGAATCAGTTATTAATAGTGAAGTTGAGTGACTATTAAAAAATTTCTTACGTCATGAGAGCAGCTAAGCTAAAAGAATACTTTCTCAGGCCCCAAAATTTAAAATCTTTTTGTATATGGGTAAAATCTCATGCCAATATGTTCAGGTAATCTTTAACCCAAAATCAAAAGAGAAAAATGTTTTCCTTTATAATGAAAATTAAGCTTATCTTTCAGACTATTCATTTTATTTATTTGGAGTAACAAATAATGCATTATTTTTTTTCAGTAAAACTGAACTCTTGGCATTAAAGGCTGTACACCAGTATAATGTGCTCAATTGTCGTGAAAGTGTCACAATGCAAAAATTAGGATAAGCAACCTAAAAGTAGGATTCGTTTTCTTTGAGGCAATATATTTGCTTATTTCTTTCTTTTAATTTAGTGGTGAAATAGGACCTTGGCATGTTCTTGATAGGTTTCATGAAATTCACCCATACAGTATATATGGTTGCTCGATTGTTCATTATAGCCATAAAGCTGTATCATTTTCTGTCATAGCAGCCTTTGACAACATCAAACATTGTGTGCCAACTGCCAAGGACTCATTACATGGGGATAAAGAGAGTAAATAACCACAATAATGTCAAATTTGCATGAGAAAACATAGCCATATGCTAAACATGATCTGAAACACATCTGCACATTTCTGGTAAGCTGATGCATTGACTCGGAGATAATGTGAGAATTATTGACGTTTTCCTGCACTCTTAATTAAACCCGCCCCCATGTTATAACTTAAAATGAGACTTAATAAACCAGAGAGTGGCCTGTTATTTACAAAGCTCAAGACAGATGTCAGTCTTAATGTTATTCACTGGGTGACAGGATATTAGTGGTCAGATATTGAGACTTGACTCTATGCTTTCAGAACTTACAGTTCATCATTGTAGAGCAACATCTAGAAAGTGGAAAAAAACATAAATTGTGAAGTTCAATATTTAATATAGTTCCCCTATTAAAATAATTCACACACTGGTGCCTTTGGTACAGAGGAAGCCAGGGAGATCTTCTCTACTCCTTCTGTATAACCAATCAGTCCAATTCATAATTTGCATTTACCACATGCCCACTTCATAAGACGCATGTCTAATTTTATATTATTCCCAACAGAGGATGTGTTAAAAGTGTCTGAGACTTAGACTTATGAAAAGTGTTCAAGCGTTTGGCTGCTGTGGGGAAGTGGTCCTGCAGATCTTATTCTAAAGCAGGAAGTATTTATCTTGTAATGAGGACCAAATAATAAATGCAAAAGTGTGTTAATCATGAATGCACTGGGCTGCTAGTTGGTGTCCACAGTTCTTTGAAGTTCTTTGCATGAAATAAAAATGGACTATTTACTTTTTTAATGCAGGTTTTGGTCTTATTGTGAACAATTTATCAGTGCATGTTATTGCAAAGAAAAATATATTGTCTTCATTATCTTTAATCAAAATGTAACATTGCTAGTCAATTTGTAGACAGCACTTATCTATTGACATAATATTAAAAAAATAAATCGGTATAGTTGAATACTATTTTATTTAGGTTTAAATTACTTTAAAAATAACTGATCTAAACAACTTATATATATATATATATATATATATATGTATATATATACAGTATATATATAT